AGCATATTTCATTCAACAATCTTTAACTCTTATTTTAATCCTATTTTATCACATAATTGACTAGAATCTTCCATTTTCACATAGGCTTCATATCAAACTCAATGAATTAATTCATTTATCTGCATTATTCATCAAATGATATCGTTGAATATTTGTTTTAACTTTGATAAGATATTCCATTTAATTAACTAAATAATAACATATCTTTTCCTAGCAATATCATTTCTTCTAATAATTGTCATCTAAAATAAATAACTAATGTGTCGTAAGTTTTAAAAGGTGTAAATGCGTATTATTGCTTTTGAGTTTTTTCCTTTAAAAATGGATACTTCTGATACAATCTCACATAAAATAGATCAATTAATTCAAAAATAAAACATAATTATTTGACTGATTATTGCAATAATATAAAACACTTTATTAAATCAATGACCAAAATAATTGATCATTTGAAGATATAAAACAAAATTCTGTCAAATGAATAAACCACTGATGAAATTCAATTTTATCTGAAGTACACAGTACTCTTTCAAATACTTTTTTAATGATAGTTTTAAAATACTTGATCGCAATACAATTTAATTTACAAAAGAAGACAAAAAACTTGCTAGTATGACGCCATGAGGGGTCAAAGTGTAGAACCCAATAACTCTCGCTATTATAAATTTATGATATTTAGTCAGTGATTCTAAATAATTTATTTCAAAAAGATACTAAATAAATGAATAAATAAAAATTATAATAACAATTTTTGTAGCTAATAGACGCTCTCTGAAATTTGATCGTTTAGAAGATGCTTACATTTAGAATACCTATTATATCAATTTATTTGATTCATTTAACATTGTTATGCTTAAAAACCTATTTCTACTGATAGATACATCTTTAATACATCTTTTCTCTTAATGATAATATATATATGATACACGCTATAGGAAGCTCCAAATATAATTTTTTATTGTTCGCTTCGTCGGTTCAACCACCATATTTGCCTGTTATACACATTAATTTTATCACTCAGTAAGCTTCCGAGCACACCATCCTTTCTCTTGACTAACTTTAACATATACTGTCGAGTTTTGTCTAAAATTAGAATTCAATTAGTTTATACTTTTCAATCTGCATCCTTCTATGATTCTGCTCACTGAATAATATCACAGCCCCACTAACTGATACCTACAATAAGATCCTTTCGCTGCGTTAAATATTAAAGCCGGCAATATTTGGACTAGGCAAAATCTACAGTAAAAATCTTAGATCCATAAAAAAAAGTATCCAATAGTCTTTGGTTTTCCTTCTTCCACCTCCGATTGCTAGAGTCTAGGAGTGTGGTGAGCTGCAAATAATCTTGATCTAAACTTATACTCACTACTTTCGTCGAAAATATACGTGAGTTTCATACAAAATATGAATCACGTCATTGATAAGAAACCTTTATTGTTCTTTGTCTAAAATATTTCTCTACAGATAAAACGTCACGCGTTGATTTATATTGGAAAACAAAACAATAAGAGAGAGAAAAGAAGAAAAATAGAGATTCATCAAGTGATACGAGATACAAAAGCATATCCTTGGTATAGTGTATGTCATTCGTCGTTCAATGATGTAGTTTGCATGAATACAACGTCAGGTGCATTGAGGATCAATATTCTACATAATATACCAAAAATTACTCGTCGTCGTGATACATCAAAGATAAATACGATGGAGTATTTGTTTATCTTAATGGCGAGCGCACGTATCAGTTATGCGTGGTATTGAGCCTTGGAATTCAATGACATGCGTTATACACATGAGAAAAAGAGAGGGAGATTGTTTGATTGAGATTTCTTTATTTTTCTCGGTCGAGCAATGAATATTGGAAGTCTTAAGAAGCACATACACAAAATCAATTGACAAGCAACAACGACATTGATGGATTAGTTTCGATCAGATAAACGAAGAGTAAAAGATCAATTGCATGATTCACTCGGCCGTTTCCGAAGTTTCTTTATCCAATGTGAACAGTGCAGTGCATCATTCAAATTATAATCCTAACAAATTCATTTACCTTGCTCAATGAAATATTTAGAAATATCATGTTTCATACGTTATATTAAATCTACACATATGGGTAGGTATAGCTTATTGGTGATTAGTGAGTTATTAGAATTGTGATTGTGTGTTCAAGTAATAGTTATAGAATTTTTCGAACATGGATGAAAAAAATTCATAATGCATTAATAGTAAAAAATCAAAATTCCAATAATTCTTGAAGAAGCCAAGGAAAATATACAGTTAGTAATAAAAAGAATAGAATAAATTTTGACAATTTTTAATGTATTTATTGATGAATATAAATTATGTACATTTAAGAAAACGGTTTTTATATTTCTTTTATCTTATGAGAAAATTTCAACTTTTCTACCCACTTTTACTACTCATCAAAAATAAAATATAACATTATTCCGCTTTCATTCCTTCATACGACACCTTTTTGTTCGTTATTTTACTTTTTCATTCTCTTTCTTGCTTTTTATTTTGGTTGAAAATAATGGAAGCGTATGTTATATGATGAAAAATCTATGAAAGTTGATTAATTAGCTTTATAGTTATATATTACTAAAAAAGTCTAATCGCAATAATTACTTTCATTTTTGTTGTCCGTGAATACTGAATTTCAACTGAAGATTCAAATAAAAAAAATAGGCAGTATAGTTCGTTTATGCTCTTTCTGAAATGAATCATTCCATTTTTTTCTTATCGCATTTTTTCTTTCTCCGTTGTGCACTGTCTCCAAAAACAGAGAGGTCGTTGCATTATTCATGTATATTCAGTCTTCATATTATTACATATGAATAATTTTCTCATACAATTTTATATTTATTTCAGAATTCTAGATCCCTATATGGAACAAATAAAACGTTCACGAAACAATTTTTTTCATAATTATGATGATAGCAAGAAAAAAAAGATTCGAAATAAAAGTTACGATTGGTAAGTCACTAGAAAATATTCTTGAAACTAAATTTACTTTTTACAGTTTATCAAGAGAAACTATCACATATTTTGAAGATGTTTCTAATGAAGTTATGTATGAAATATTTGAATTTCTTGATTATTTTCATGTATATGAAGCCTTTTTCAATATTAATATACGATTTCGTAATCTTCTTACTATTTCGACTCTTCCTATTGAAATCAATATTTCATCAATGTCTAAATTAGCTTATCAACGATACTATAAAGACATTATTATGACTAATACTAATCAAATTAATTCACTACGTTTATCTAATGTATTCATTTATGATCTTATATCTTCATCAATTGAAATATTATCGGAATTTCTCCAACTTAAAAGGCGTATTCTCGATAATATTGAATCAAAATATCTGGAAAAACTACTCGTTCAATTAATTTCTTTACCTTTTCTCTCTTCATTGATTATTAGTTCTGTTGATAATATTAAAAATAAAAATGTTATCTATCATCAAATATTTCGTCTGCCATCATTAAAATATTGCAAATTGTCCTTGGAAGGATACAGTCATAATGATGATCCACTATCATTAGTTACTAATGATCATAGTTCAATTGAACATTTGATCATCAACAATTGCATATACTTGGACGAACTGAATAGTTTGGTATCATATGTTCCTCAACTACGACAAAAATATTGCATGCAACAGGCAAAAATACATCCACCTGGATCAAGTTATTTGACATATGTTTCTCTCGAGCTAGACGACATCAATTTTGATCAATTTGAACACTTGGTCATTGATCTTTTCGCCACAATTCAAGTTTTACGCATTTTAATAAAATATAATACAGATATAGCATACGTGAATAATAACAGATGGGAAAAACTAATATTATCTCATATGCTAAATTTACGTATATTTGATATTCGACACGAAAATTGTCCAAGCAATATTACTGTTAATAATAATAGTAATTATAATCCGTTGACATTAGACAATTAGATCAATCAGTTTACATCACCATTTTGGATCGAATGACAATGGTTTTTTGCGCTTCAATATGATCAGTCAAGATATAGAAATTCAACAGTATTCTATTCAATAGTGATTCAATTGCAACCATTCTCAGTCGTATAATTCCCTTAATACAAATATCTAAATTAATCCTTGAATGTCACCGTTTCTCTTTCATGAAATTAATCGAATTATTACGTTTTACACCTAATATCCATACATTAATATTTCAATCTATGCCTTTTTACAGAGATGATTATATATCAATTCAACAAAGTGAAACTTTTCGATTAGTATCCAATAAAAATAGGATTACAAAAGTGACTTTTAAAGAAGTTCGTACATTAGAAAAGATTCGACTGCTCGTTGCCTTATGTCCTCAAATGCAGTATCTTACAATAGGAATGTGTATGAAAGATTTAGAATCAGTAACACGATTTCTATTGGAAAGTGCTAACCAAAGTACGGGTCATTTGTGTTCGTTGTGTTTTTTAGGGGCGTCAAATAATTGGTTCGAAAAGGTACAAACACTAATCAAGTCCGAGACACTACTTGATGATTATATGTTAAAACTTGTCTGTTCGAAATTGTATTTATGGTGGTAATGTTGACATGTATCAACAAACTATCTAACTCTCAATATATTAATTTTAAATAAACAAGAAAACTAATCGTTGTCATTAGAGCTAGTCGGGTTGGAAACAGACTTGAACCCACTCGAGTATGGGTCTGGAAATTTTCTATTGACCAGCTCTGGGTCTGATCCGATAATTGCTACTGTAAAAGTAACGGTCAATTATATCTACATTCTTATACGATCATCATCAAGATACTTTGCGAAACGTGTAGGACGTGCTAGTTCCTGAACCTAAATAAGCGAAAAAAGTATCTCGTATCTTCCGAGTGACTATCAAAACGGATTAGGAAGTGGGATGTGGCTGTGAGTTTCGGGAGTGTGGGTACCAGCGCGGAATATGGCTGTGTAGATTTGAATGCGGCATGAAGCTCTGATTGTGGGTGTGGTGTAGATTAAAACAAAAATTCAATTCACAACCACAGCCACATTAACACCCAAATACGAAGTGCATAAATGCTTGTTTATGAAGAAATAGGAAATAAAATCAATATTTCAACAAAGAAATTACCTACAACTAAATTGCAATCTTTTGATCATTTATTCCAAAATTCGTTAGTGTAGATTTGAGAGGTTGGTCAATTAAGTATTCTTCGAATATTCGATATATAGAAAACTTACGAAGAATTGAGATACTTGTCCATCTATGACTCATCTTCAAATATAAATGATAACTAAAAAGAATAATATTTTTAATGTTTTTCAAATTATTTATTTAGTCGTTCATTGAAATATGAAATGAATCATGAAAATTAACAATTAGTCAATGAGTTGACAGGTTTTTGCAACATTTTCTAAACATATTTATAACCAATCTTCTTCTAATCGTTCAAAGATATTGGATATTTTTCTTTAAGTTTTCATAATGTTTGAAAGTAATTGTATTCAGTCAAAACTGTTCAAGATTGAACAAGAAACTCTGCGAATCGTTAATGAGTAAAGACTCGAATATTTTCATTAGATAGAACAAAGGTGCTTTTTCATCATTATATTTCTGAAAAAATTGTAAAACTTGGTATTTAAGTGAGAATATTGATTTCTTCAGTGAAGATATACTTTGACGAGCAAGTTGTAATAATGTGTGAAGAAATATAGAGAATGTTTTTGATTTAATTTCATTTGAAATGCTATTCACTTGTTCATAATGAATAATTTTGGCTAGATTTATGTAGAGATCATTAAAATTAACATGTGTCGATAGAAAATGTTGTAAAAACTTGGACCAATCAATGAAATATATTTCAATTAATTTCATTAATATAGATATAAGTTTAATAATTTATTCTTGATGTATAAAATGACAAAATAAATCCGAAATATATTTCGAACCGATTAAATTAGTCTGATAATGTATAAATTTAATTTTCATAAATAGTCCATGTATTAAACAATTGAATGCAGATTTAAATTCATTTTGAGATAAAAATAATTTGTACATGATTATTTGTATGGTAGAAATTATTTGAAAATGTTTTGGATTATCATCATCATATTTTGAATATAGTATAGCAAAATAATCTCTAAAATGATCATTGTTATTCATTCTTATCATTTTTCTATAGATACTCCAGATATATTTTCAATCGATTTCTGTTGTTTTATCAAGAGCCATCATATAATATTTTTCTGCATGTACATAATCTTGTCGATGACGATAATAATTAGCAAAAACAATCAACTCATCGGTAGTACAAGTTTGTTCATCAATAGACTCTGAAGGTGTTATAGAATTTAGAACAATGGCTGAAAGCAATCGTTGACTAAACAGCATTGCAGCACGGATATATTGACTAGTATAGTTTGGATTTCCATTTAGAGCAATTCTCTTTAAGTCCAGTATGAGATCTAATAGATGAGGAATTAGTGAGCTAAGATTGTTCAGTGATATATATGGAATAGCTTCATAATAGTACTCTTCTGCACAATTTAGATCACCGATATAAATATAACCCATTACCAATGGAGTATAAACAATACTAAGAAAATCTTTATCATTAGAAAAAGATGGATTTTCCAGTGCTTTCTTCAAGCATGGAATAGCTTGAGAAGGCCTTCCGTTTTGTATTAAATAGTAGGCACACGTAAAATCGAAAATAGCAAATAATCTATGTGTGGAAGGATAATTAGATTCCAAACATTGTTTCGTACTTTCCATGATGCTTAAAGCATTGCTTATGCTGTTCAATCTGAAATATGCTACAGTCATTTGCATATACATAACTCCATTGAGTATCTTCATAAGCGAAGTAGGCATATAAGATGCTATTTCTACTGCTTCATCCCAATGATTGAGTGCGTCAACAAATTTTTGTCGTTCTAAACAAACGTGGCCTACATGTAATAGACGCATTTTTTCATAAACATCATTGTCAGAATATTCTTTATTCATTAACGGTTCAAGCGTATCAATTGTTTGGTTAGAATGATGTAGTGTTATATGTGAAGACGCCATGAAAGCGGCTAGCCATGGTGATGTAAATTCTTTCATAGATAATTCGAATGATTGTAATACATTACGATAAGATTCCGATGCTAATTCATTTTCTTTCATCGCCACATAACTTGCTCCTAACATAGTATGTATGGATAATTTTAATGTCTCATTAATTGAGTCGTGTTTCAAGAGCATTTGAAAATATTGAATTGCTTTAATACAATCACCAATCAAAAGCAGGAATCCACCAAAGTAACATAAAGATATCGTATCATTTTCGTCAAACGTTTTTTTGTTCTTCTGCATTTTTGCCATTGATATAAAGAAAATTATTAAGCAGATCGAATAAGAGATAGATGGGTGTGGGTGTGAATAAAGAGGGAAATGACACTCACACTCTCAATGTACATATCGCTCTAGAACAAGCTATATCCATTATGAAAGGAGTCAACTATCAGAAGGTAAAAAGTAAACAAATAACAAAATGATCGTTATCACGAGCAGTTGTTTCTTCTCTTGTCTTTCGTCTTGCTATATGTGCGTGTATGCTACGGCTCTGTATATGATGAACAGAAATGAAGAAAGCAAAGAAAAAGCATAACTATTGAGAAATAAAAAGAATTTCTTGCTATTCCTGCTGGAAATCGAATTTTAAAAAACTTCTACTGAGCACTTGATCACATCTCTAATTCATATTTTCATGCAACATTCGGTTTTTCACATTCTTTTCATTGATCTTATTTTCATTGAGTAGCTATCATATATACAACTGAGATATTTGATAAAAAGATACATGAAATAAGATCAGGTCTCTCGAACATTAAGCATTCAATGGATGAAACAAATCAATTGTATTCGATAAAATAGAATTTTATTTACAAAGATATCATTCTTAATTCGAAAAGGATGTGGGTGTGCTTGCGCTTGTAGTTGTGCTGGTGTAGGTGGAAGGGTGTGTGCGATTGCAGAGCAGATTGTCACCAAAGTTCATGCTTGCAATCGTATCGTAACTTAACTGAATCAACGGACAAATGCTCATCATAAACAGGCAATTTTCTTCTTGATTGTTTTGGTTGATATTTATATTTCTTCACATATTTTTTTTCTCTTATGAACTATTCACGGACCAGTTGTTAAAAAGCATTGTTGAACAGTTTCAACAAAATAAACTTTCAGAGCACGAATATCAACTATAAAAATTGTTATAATTCTGATTTATTCATCTATTTAGTATTTTTTTTAAAACTTATTTTAAAACCTCTGATAATATATATTAAATTTCTAATGTTCAGAGTTTATAAGTTCTACATTTCGGCCCTTCTTGGGATCGCACTGGAAAGTTTTTTTATGAATTATATTGAACATCAATTAAAGAAACGAGGTATTGTTCTCGTTGCCATGATTCGAAGTATAATCTCTCTACTAGGTAAATAAGCTGCTTCGACGGGATGTCGACATATTGGACAAGTATTTCGTGCTCGCAATGCATTTAGCATACAATCAAAATGAAAAGTATGCCTAGCTTCGCAAGGCCATTGAGTAAAATGTTGACCGATACGAAATTCTTCATAGCAAAGACTGCATTCTATATGAATCTGATCAATAGCGACTAATTGAGGATCTTTTAAACGAAATTCTGCAATGAAACGAGGTGATGCCGATGCTATACGGTGCCATATTCGGTCGAAGTTATATCCATAGTTACAATGTTGATATTCAGCTTCTTCTTCCATAAAAACCTCGAGATGGCGTCGATATTCTTCTTGTTGAGCGAGTAGAGTTTCTTGTTGTTGACGAAATTGTGCTTGTTCGCAACTAGAACGAAAAAGAAGATATGTTCTCTTTTTATAACAATAATTAAACAGAAATAGAGCATACCAATGTCGATATTGATCATTGATCTGTATCAATCGTTGATGAAGCCATTCACTAGTATTAGAATTTCTGAGACACGAAATAGGTGGATAGTAGATATATTTTGAACCGAAATCGTTTGTAATCACAATGTGATAGTATCTGACTGATTGAATACTATCAATAGAAATGATTTTGAACGGTGAACGTTTATCAAATTGACGTAGAATTTCTGCCTTATGTTCATTAAAATCGATCATCAACATGACGAGATATTTATCTCGTGTAAGAAATAATCGATCATAGTACTTGTTTTCTATGGTTGTATGTAATAAAAGATTATTTAATATTTCAATAGAATTAATATTCGATTTTTCAAATTCGTCTCGTACAGAACGATGAATCATAAGTGACGGTTGTCGAATCATATTGAATAGATACATTACAAGAGAGAAGAGAGTCCTTATCAAAGGCCATACGAATAAGAGACCAATAAGAATATAGGTCATGTAAGGACAATATGAAGAAGAAGCATCGAATACCGTAATGCGATTGCCCAATTTATAGGATTCATTCGAATTCCAGAGGTAGACAGTTTCACCATTCGGTTGATAGAGATATCCGAGTAGAATACCACATTTAATGATGACTTTTATATTGAATAACGTCGCATTTCGATTATAGATTTGTTCAATCGCTCGAATGTACATGGATTTTTCGTTCCATTTGAGATATTCCATGGGCAAAATATCGAGCTGTCGGACAATACATCGTAATGTACGAATATGAAACATTCGAAAATTATAAGGAAGACGTCTATGAATATGAGATTGTTCATTTGATGGTAATTTAACGTACAATTTATGAAGATAATGATCAATCGTTGATTCTCTTACACGATTAAATGTATACAATAACTTTTCAGATGGATAGTGACCATGGAATATTCGGAATGCTTTTGCCATATCTTGATCAATTATATCTTCACCAAGTTCAATTTGAAAATATTCACGATCAAATGAAAACCAACGAAAAAGAAAATGTCGTGTATCATATTGAAGTCCAGTGTAAGTTTTAAATTGAGTAGCAAATTGATCAAGATTGATAGGAAATGGACCTATCCATGCATTGTAGATTCGACTATGACATTGGAATAATAGTAATCCGAGAAAGCAAATGGGCAAATAGGAAAATATATTTTTAACATTTCGAAGTCGCTTATATTGTGTATCATGAATGCGTTGAATATGAATACGTATAAGTAATGATAACAATAACGATGGTTTAGTGACAACGTTGACGGATGTTTTCTCCTTGTGCCACCGTAACATCGGATTTTTCTTGAAAAGAAGATGACAAAAAAGAACAAATATCTATGACGTTTATAATATTAACAGAACATTATTTCATGTTTTTTTTTCCCATTATACTTATGCTTCACACTAGAGGTCACATGTGATGAAGATTGAATAATACCGTCGGAGAAAAAAAAATAATCATTTTCTTTTCTAACGCAATTCAATCGGCTACATCAAAAATCAATAGACTTACTCTTCATAAACTCATAGTTACTCGTATAGATCCGAATATTCGAAAAGAAAAATTCATTCTGGAAACAGAGAACGAGTTAAATCAACTCTGCTGCAATCCCCTTGGTTTGGGCTGCTGAATGTTAAAGAAGAAGAAAAAAGACACATTGTCAATATAAAAGAATAAGCAAAACACTCTACATCGCGCTCTGCCTTTTTATTCAATGAATCAGCATAATGTCAGGTGTATTCGAGAAACATCTTTATAAGTACCGTAATGAGTAATGCAAAAGTTCTTGTACAATAGTCCGATTCTGTTGTTTTTGAACAGAATGTGATAGAAAGTAAATTCTTTTTTTTTGTTTTTTGTTGAGCATTGTTTTCTATTTAATATGACATGTTTCGCAGATGTTAGCGTCAACAGATGTCGCATTATGACGCTAACTCATGTCCAGTGTATTATATCTATATACATATACATATACAGTAGAGTGCAAAAGTCCTTGCCCCTTGTGTGGACTACCCTTCTGAAATCAGATCTCGAGAAGTTTTCTTAAAGTTTTTTAAGTAAGTCTATCAAAAGTAAGATCAGACCAAAATGTATCTATTTAAAATGAAAATCATCAGAAATGGCCTTCGGCTAGAGAGAGAATGCTTTCACGATGAAACCTCACTTCGTCAAAAACCGAAGGGAAATCTCATTTACAGTATTGACATGATTGACCGTGAAAATCTTGTCAAAAAGACTATCCGCAGACAGCTCTTCGTTCGAACTGAATAAAAACTTTTTCAGCTGACTGAGAACGATGACGAACGATGAGGTTTATAGGGCTGAAAAAGTACATTAGCCTAAAAAAAGGATGAAATCGTCAAATTGACACTCCGCGAAGTCGATGTTAATTCTATAAAAACCGTCTAATCCATCATAAAAACCTCATGTTGAGAAGAGAAACGATCAAAGCTGCGTTATTTCGACAAATTTTCTCGTGAGATACGTGAGAAAACTAGCTGAATTACTCTAAATGATTTTATCAAGTTGGTAGAAACTAGGTATTTGGGTGTGAGCCACTCAAAGAGAAGTCGAATCAAATAATTATTTTGCAAGTGTTGAAGCTTGAATTAAGCCCTGTCTATGAGCATAATTTATTATTATAGCTGATGTATTCATGCAGAGAGATACGTGCAACATTAAGGGCAAAAACTTTTGCACTCTACTGTATATGTTTTCTTTTTCTTTCCTTTCATATATGTACGTGTTATATTGATCATCATGAGATCATGATGATCTACTTTATATTGCGTCATTCTAATTATTTGTATTACGTTTTTGTTTTTCTTTTCATATCCTGTATATGATCTTGTTTTTCTCTTTTTAATTATTATTGTTGATTTCTTTTCGATTATCATTATTATTGTTATTGATTTTCTTTGACTATCATCGTTTTCCTATCGTTATTATTGGTCATTATTATTTTTTCTGTTGTTACCGTTGCCCATTATTGTTATTGATCAACATCGTTTTCAACATTATATGTATATGTGACATTATTGATATTTATCAATAAAGATTGGATTGGACTTACATATATACATATTATCATTTATTAATTCCAAAGTACGGTAGGGAGTTTTGACGTGAGATTTCTCATCATTAGATAGTTTAGATTCACATACGATTTTCATTTAGCCTACGATAATTCCGAAGGCTAAAGGCATTACATACATCCCCAAAGAGAAACCTCACATACATCCACACACACCACACCCACCTTCAATGGTCTTCTCATGCATTAAAACCAAAAAACAAACGACCAACAACATTATAAAATCGAAAAAACATCTCGTATGATCGATATCATAATTATCTCATTACAGCATCTGGTCTTAACGGTTTGTCTTTTTGTGTAGTAGAAAACAAATTATGATTGTTCAATTAAAAAAAACTATTTAATGTCGATTAAGTAGTATATCAAAACCTTTTTCTTGTATTTTATTCTTTCTTTTTAAATAATAAACATTTAGATTTACCTGAATTTGGTCGAAAGTAAAAAATGTCGAAGGCAAAATATCGAAAATGAAAATATCAAATAGAAGATACGAGGGTGGGTATGGTTGTGAATGTGTGTAGGTCTTGGGATAGTAAAATTACCCATACCCACAGCCGCAGCCACACCCCACACACACTCATCTCTGTGATACTTTTTTATTTAAAAAATTCATTTGAAAATGCAGATGATCTTCGTATTCACAAGGCTTTAAAGAAAACGGACGAAATAGAGCTAACTTACAACTAGTTTATACTTTGAAGATAGCTATGTGATATATAAAAGAATCTTGGGCTAGAAACAAAAAGATTACTAGAAATAGTGTCAAGCCAAAGGAATTTGTGCTTTGCCCTTGTTTGTTTGATAGATGTCCGACAGTTCAGCGTATATCATGGATATGTCGTTCATACGGCAAAGAAGTGATTCACGAGCTTGATTACATTTGTCGAGACTTTCGATCATCTGTAAAATGTTGTAACTGTGCCAAAATGAATTTATACGATTGTACAGTGGACGGTTCTTCTCAGTGTCTCCAAAAACTTCTTTTAAAATTTTGATGTCATGTGGAATGTTGAAGACATCTCGACTATCCTCGTGACTGAAGAGATAATAAAAATTATCATAACCACCCCATGTTATGGCCGAAAGACAAAGAGAGCAAGGCTCATGCGTACTGAGAAAAATGCAGTCTTTTGAATCGGGCAAGTTCGAGCGATCATTCATTTCGTAGAGTTGTTTGATTGCATGGATCTCACCATGCCAAAGCGGATTTTCTACTTCATTATTGGTTTCGGCGACAAGAATCGAAAGATCAGACTTTTTCAGGATGGCAGCGCCAAAAATTTTGTTGCCTCGTGCAACACCAGCTCGGGTCTTAGGCAAAATGTCTTGTTCGATAACAGTAAGAAACCGATTGAGTAGTTGAACATTATCCATCTTAAATTAATTTTCAGGTTTAAGTGATTAACATAAGTGCTTGAGTTAAACAGAGATTAAACGAGCGCATAACACCGATAAAAACTTCACAAAATGTGCTATACGTTCTTGTTCTTACTCAGGTTTAAAGTATATACTAAAATGAATTGTCTCAATTCTACTATTTCGAACTATTTTATTCAAGTTCTCTCCACATGCTGTTGTTTGATGTATTGCAAGAGTTTGTATCCTCGACAAGATAAAAACAGGTCGGTCTTATGGTCATATCTAGTCTCAGTTCTAATTATCATCAACTTCCTATCATATATATGAAGACATCAGATTTGCAAATGAGACTGTTGGTTTTAGCCACATCGAAAAATTGAATGTAGGTTAATAGATGAAACAAAAAGAATGTCAACACTAAATAATGACTTTTGACAGAAGTACGTCTTAAAAACTTACTGTACAAATTAGGCATAGATTCAAAACAAAACTAAAAGAAAGTTTAATAGTCTACAAGATCATGTAAAACACTGTTAATATCTATTCTTCACAAGTTTCTACCATGTATACTAGAGAGAGCTCTCATATTTTAACATCTAGATAAGATCTTGAAAAAAAAAGAAGATAAACATACTTGCTCTTATCATCCTTTTCTTTTCGGTGTCCACCGTGAGCGATCAAATATAATTCATTTACTTTTTATTCTTCATCAAACAATAAAAATGACATCGTCTTTACAACAAGAAAAGCCACAATTTTATGATGCAAAAGACATTATTGTAATTTTGGGAGCTGTATCACAAGAGATCACTCTTCTAGTTAATGCTTTAGAAATGAGTGAAAAAAAGCAGCTATGGGGTATTCCATACTGGCAAGGCAAATTACATGGTCAATATGTCGTTATTGCTATCACTGGTATTGGTAAAACTTATACTGGTATGACGAGTACTTTATTCATCAAAGAGTTTCAACCTCGTCTAGTATTAATGACCGGTACAGGTGCGCGTATCAATCCACAACTACGCACTGGTGACATCATCGTTGCCACGCATACCTATGAGCATGATTACGGTAGCCTTACTACAGACAAGGATATGGTTTATCGTCCAATGAACAGTCCAGATGATGGTAAAGAAGTAATTAATGAATTTAAACCAAGTGCAGCAATGCTAGCACTTGCTCAAAAAGCTATTGAAAGCTATCAACCACAAACAATAATCATCGATGAAAATATCTCGTATGAAAATAGTGTTCGTTTCGGTGTCATTGCATCGTCAGATTTATTTGGTGTACCGCAAGCACGCATTGATTTACTACGTAACCAGTTCAAAGTTGATATTATGGAAATGGAATCAGGACCACTTGGTCACGTGTGTCAAACTTTTAGTGTACCGTATTTAATCGTACGTTCAGGCAGTAATATTGCACAAGAGGCACCCAACAATGATTACTTGCGTTTAAGCCCAATTGCTGCTTTAGAAGGAGCAAAATTTTTACTTCATTTCATTAAGTTTCTGAATTAAACAGTAGAAATAACTATTAGTAAGCAATGTGGAATAAGAATGTAATCAAGTAGATACACTAGCAGATTTCAATTTTGTTTAAGAGTCTTCATCGAATCGCTGTTTGATCATTTTGAGTGCAATTTTAATTTGTACAAGAAAGGCAATGTACATCGTTGGTACTTCGTCGAATGATAATGAATAACTCTATTGGATTTATTGGATTGTAATTTGTCCATATATGATTTACCCACTTCTATAATTATAAATCTCGAGAAATGCTCGTGTTCTAATTATTTCTAATAAATGCAACTAATTGATCTTTACCATTAGGTGACGTGTGTTCGATTATTACCGAAAGAATCTAAAACATTTTAGTATACATAAATCATTTTTAAACTAATGATTCATGTGTATGCACACATTCTAATTGCATCATCGTTTCTTTTTTGTTTGATGACTATTAAATATCGTACCAAATTACTGTTTGAGTTACTCTTGATATCTAAACGAGATGTAAAATTACTTATCAGAAAGATAGCAATTAAAAAAAGAAACAAGATCAACTAGAAATAACACAGAATATTGTCTTCTACATGTATCATGCACTTTCATATCCAGAGTGATTGTGGATGTAGGTGTGGGCATGAAGTGTAGTGGGTACAATACCTAGCCATAGGCTGGGCATGGGTGTGGATGCGGTTGTGAGTGTAAATAAAGAGGAAACACCAACGCCCTCTGTTAAGTAAGCGTAAATTGTTCTTCTTCGTTTTTGAATGAAGAAAAACATTGTCAGAAGTGTTTTCTTGAGAAGAAAACAAGATTAGAAAACTCATATTGATTTTTTTTTTGTGATCAGAAAAAAACTCGTCAACGTGATGAATTTTTTTTCATAGATAAAATCATGTTTCATTTTCAAGGCAACAAAAAGGACATTAAATACTTGATAGAGTTCAATAGTGTTATCCATAGATTTTTTACAACTTGTATATTTCACTAGTCTTCATATGTTTTCTTATTATTTATCTCGTCAAGTAAAGTGATTAATATTATATGTATCAAAGATCATTGAATCGCTCTTCTTTGTTTTCTTAGTTTGAGACTGAATTTTTAAAAAAATTCGCATGGAATTTTACACAAATTCATCTCATATGGTACAAAGAGAAAAAAACATTCTTGTGGTGATATTAAAAACATGAAACATCAAGAACTTTCAAAAGCATTCTCAACAAATCGGGCAGAATATGTGATTTCCCCAGTACCTACCCTATAGCTCTTTTGATTGAGATAATTTTGGACAACTTTTTTTTCGAAAAAATCCGAGTTTAGTGCTCTATTAAAAAAGATTTACAAACATATATCATAGAAATAGAAGTAAGCAAAATAATTACTATAACTAATAAATCAGACATAGCTGGTTTCAAAAAACAAAAATCCTTTTTAAAAAGTGCTAATGAATATGATGCTAATTTTATGCAATTAAAATTTGTTAGAAAAATGTTTGAATATATATTAATAAAATGAACCGCAATGTGTGTTTGAAAGTTATTGTGATATTGCTTGTTCTCAGTATAAATATAGAAAATGCTTTTGCTTTGATCCCTGTCACTGAGAGATGGATATTGAGAATAAATGAAGACTCTACTTATTTATGAGTTACCCATTATTCCATGAATGAATCATTTTTAATCAGAACGCAATGAATATAATGCTTTATCAAGAATGGTTCTATGTAAAGTTGTTGTAGAGATGTCATTAACGCTGGATATCTTCAGACAAGAGATGCACAAGATCGGGATCAACAATACTGGTCCCGTGCATGTCTACTTCCAACTAATTGAATAGTTCTGCAAAGTTATTTTGAAGTAATCATGCTAAGCGCTATCCATTTATTTGAATAATGATGAATAAAAAAGGAAATGCTTCTTCTTATCATTCAAATCAACAAGCAATTCGATTTGCTTCTTATTGGAATATAACAGAATCGTTTTGTATTGAATAAATTGAGTTTTAACATAAAAGAAAGTCTTGACAGAAGAGTAATAGAATAAATAACTTAAAATTATAGTCGTAGGTATGTTTTGTTTCCTTTCACACACATATTCGCACCCACACCCGACCGCTTGTTTTATATGCTTCTGGTTAGAGAAGTAATTCCACACACAACTATATCCGTTTTAGAGTTTATAGTGTCGTTACCAGGTCCTCTAATGCCGGTCACTGGAAACAGTCTTCTATCGGCATCTGACAGTAAATTACTTTTTTCTCGATGAAAACTCCATTCTTTTCAAAAATATTTTGAACAAAAAATGACCTTATGGATATTTGTCCTTTAGTTTTGCTTGTTTCTTTCGCTTTTAAATCTTTGAGAACACTTTTAAATGCTTTGCGGTACGTTAAACGTATTTTAGTGCATTTACAACTCTTTTTGTACTTTTATCTATTTTTCAATTGAAATACACGGCCTTTTCCTAGCAGATATGTGGTCATAAGGGTGGGTGTGAGGAGTGTGCACTCCCCTACTTTTGAAAAATTTTCAATATTTTCCAGCGAAAATCATTCTTTTTATCGACAAAAAAAGATCGGAAAATGAGAAACACATATTCTGCACCTCCACTTTTATAAAAATTATACATGCACGTTACCACCTCTCAGAAAATTTCTCTTACAAACTTCACTTGTTTCTCTTCGTCACATCCATGTTCTCTTGTGTATATTCTGACGGTGTATGACTAATTAATGTTTAGTTGACAGATAAACAACAACGTATGTTATCATCTTTAACAGCGAGATGACTCAATGAATGATGAATCAGCATACATTGATTTTTTTTCTCCTACTCATGCTGAGTATATTTACGTAGCAATAGACATGGCGTGATATGCTTTATGTGTATACATAGGTAATTTTTTTCTATGTTGTTGACATGCGTTTGTTGAATACAAAAGGTAGTATGAGTCAGATAAAAGTATTTTAAGACAAACGTGCTCTACGAATGTAATTATTCATTGCCAAACAAGTAACGACTAACGTATAAATAATGGTCGATCCTTTGCAGTTGATGATTGATTACGACTTGTTTAACGTGCTTTCTTGCAAAAAAAATCTATACAATAGAATACAGTGTCCGTGGACCAAATACTTACTGTATGTGCCAACTCATGTCCTCCGTTTACTGCATTTTAAAGAACTGTGAGACGACTACACCAAAGACTTTGATGAAACATCTTGGATGTCATATAATATTCTATTTAATTTCAATTTGAATTAAAACAAAAATCATAGTCAATTTCAAACTGAACTGAGAGTCTAGGAATTTTTCCGAATTATATTATTTTCTGTAGCCTTTAATAAAATTTCGAAGATTTTCAAGATCCCCAGACCCATTGTCTAAAAAAAGAAACATATCTGCTATAGAAGACAAGGAGGTTTAAAGTTGTGAGTATAGGTAGATGTCTACTCTCATGTTCCATAAACGCACACTCACATCTACCCAAAGAATAATTTCACATTTAAAACACATTTGCTCTCAAAAACCTCAGAGAACATTTAAAGGGTACGTTTTTCTGGACCATTGTGTAAAAAATACCAGAAAATACAGTTTTAATCAAAATACGTTACTTTATTAGTGTCTTTTGACTAACACAAGAGTAATGTCATTTACCAAATCGGATAAATGATCTTCTTTCTTTTCCAGATATATTCTCAATGAAACCAGTCTACTCGATTTTTCTTTTATTTTTCTTGTCATTCTTGTGTGCAATTCCATCATCCATCTTTGACGTGCCTCTGATATACGTTCCTACATTATTTAATTACACTAATGATGTGATTACCAACAACAATACATTTCCTATCACTCTCACTTATTCTAATGCTTCGATATCTTATGTCATTCTTGATTATGGAGTCAACGTGGGTGGATTTCCTTTTTTCGATATTGATCAAGTAACTGGTAATTCTTCACTCCGAGTATCGTATTCGGAAGCATTACCCAATGTGGTCGATGGTGATATGGAATTTTATCCATTGATACGTTCATTCGATCCTTATCGAGTCAAAATTTATTCTATCATGACTCCTGGTCATATTGAAAGCCCTCTCATTCAAGGTGCTCAACGATATCAACGTTTAACGCTGATCAATGGAGGTAGTATACGTATTAGTAAGTTGGGCATCAAATCGACGCACTATACAAAAGAAATTTCTATAGCACCTGGATTCTTTTCGTGCAGTTCGGCATTGTATACTGATATGTGGAAAATGGGTGTTCGCACTCTACAGCTTAACATGATTCCTCCTCGAATCATACCTCCAGGATTTATTGCTACAGATCAAGGCTTTCTCCTAATACCAAACCAAGCTGGCGTCTATCTACGAGGTATGCAATGGGTCAATTATACAGTCACATTTTCGACAATGATTGTGAGTAGTGGAACTTCATTTGCTGTACGTTCGAATGACTATTCTGAGATTCTTATCACTATTAATTCAAAAGAACATTCCAGTCCTAATACTTTAATAGTCAATATGCGACAGGAATTACCACCTCCAGATACCTATATCTACAATGCAACTTTACCTCTTAATATTTCTCTGCTGCAATGGTACGATATAAAGGCAATCGTTCAAGGTTTGACAATTGAACTCTCGATAAACGGCATCAACGCTTCTATTATTCCCATACCAGAGTCGTCAAGTTCTTACATACCTTCTATAACACCTGGTGGTATTGCTTTTACGACTTCAAACAGCCAAGAGACATTTTTCCGTGATCTCCAAGTGATCGATCTTTCTTCTAATAATTTTGGAACTATTCTCTATCAAGACTCACTTACTTCTAAGCAAGCGGTCTCTGATTTTGGTGTTGGCACGAATGAGTTGCCTGTTATTTTGGATGGCGCGAAACGTGATCGAAATGTATGGTCTGGAGATCTCTTAGTGGCTGGTCCAGTACTTTATTATTCTTTCTATGAACCCGAATATGCAGCTGGATCACTAGCAATTTTAAACAGTTATCAGTTGACGAATGGACCAGTATCATCAAGAATTAATGTCGGATTTCCCTTGCAACGAAGTAGTCCCAGTGATGAATTCATTTCTCCAATCTTTTACAGTTACACATATTTCCTTACCAATCTTATTAGTGTAGCTGAATATTATCTCTATACGGGCGATGTTGAATTTGTACACGATCAATGGTCTCGGATGCAATTGTTGATGAACTTTTTTTCAAAACTAGTTGACACAAATAATCTTGTTGTTGCTTCAAATCCAATATGGGGTTACGATTATAATCCTTCCTATGGTACATACAATGGAAAGTTTACCAAATTGAATATACTTTATGCTATGGCATTAGAAAATGCAGCATCTTTGGCTGATGTTGTTAACAATACGACTGCAGCTCTTCAGTATCGTCAACAAGCTGCAGCTGTACGAACTGCAGTGAACACTTATCTCTACAATTCTACTGCCAACTTTTACATGATTTCCGATCAGCAAACTGTCGGTATAGCTCAAGACACCAATTCATTGGCCATTCTGTCTGGTATTGCATCCGAATTGAACTCTAGTATACCTCAGCGATTGCTCGAGCAGATGAAACAAAAGCTACGTGTGTTGGTTGCTAATGGTACTGGATATCTATCTACCACTGCGGACGGAATTCCTTCGGGTACTTCGGTCATTGTTTCACCATTTATCTCTTTTTTTCATGCAGCAGCAGCTTTTGAACAAGATAGAAGTGATCTCGCGTTTGATGTACTCGATTCTGTTTGGTCACCTATGGCCCAACCGGGTCCTTATTTCACCGGCACATTTTGGGAATCAGAACGTCCTAATGGCTATCCTGGCGCTTCTACAAGTATGGCACATACTTGGAGCGCAGGAATAACCCCAATTCTGTCAAAATATGTGCTTGGAATCAAGCCTATGTCTGCTGGATATACTAAATGGTCGATTCGTCCTCAACCAGGCAATCTTACGTGGGCTGCTGGAAGTGTTTGTACACCTCATGGAATTATAACAGTCAATTGGAATAATAGCCATGCTGAATTCAGAATTGTAGTCAATATTCCTCGTTCCACAAGTGGTATCGTATACGTACCCACACAAAACAATTGCATAACTGTGAATGGGAACACTCTCGATGTGGGATCTTATAACAATTCTGTGTATGGAGTGGATAAGATTACAAGAAATGGTAGTTATTTGAGAGTTAATATTGTCTCGTCTGGATCATATTCAATAATTGCTAACTTTGCATGCAACGCTGTCTCAGCTCTTTCTATCCGTTCTTCAACATTGATTTGTTTACTTTTGTGCTCATTTAAAATCTCGTTTGAATTTAGTCTCTAGCAAGGGACGTAGTTTTTCGATAATCATATGACAAATGATTTCTCAATCACATAAGTGCTTATTGTGCAAACTTCTTTTTTCTTCACATATTATTCATCTAAAAAACCTCGCAATATATTTGAATAAAACATCTAAAACTGCAAACAAATTCCACGAATGAGAGCAATTAGGCAGTATATTATGAAGTATAAGAAACACTTTTTTGTTGAAGTTGCTTTTCGATGGACAAAGATAGATTTTATGATCGAAATCTGTTTTGAGAAATTGCCTCGAAAAATAAAAGCAGCTAGTTTCTGTCTTCACAAAAAAATTATAACTTAAATTAACAAAGACCATTCTTTAATCCTACTATTGTTTCAATCATCACTAAAGTCAAATCAGAGAATGATAGTCATTGAGTATTGAGTAAGAGCTACCACGACACATTTTGACATCCCTACGTGGCTCTTCAGATGGTGTTAATTATTCAGAAACGTAGGAAGAAGCAGAGCAAGTCTAAGGAAGATTTTAAAGACAACTCTAAAATTCGAACAATGAAATTAAATTTTTTGACACTTGACAAGTGGATGAAGCTCTAATCTATCTAAATACGACATCTCTCAGTAATGATGGATGTTCTTGGAGAAATTTATAAATTCTTTTCTGACACACTACACTTTTGACCTTCTTCAAAGAATTTAAAATTCACTCATCATTGATCTTATTCAATTTAGTGTATCTTTTGGAAATATAAATCAGACTTTTCTCTATTATTCAAAACTATCAATAACTTTATAGGTTCTTAGATTTTAGCGGAGACATTCACCTTCTTCGGAGAGCGACATATGATACTTAACAAGGCAGAACATGAAGGAATTCAATGTTAATAGCGACTAAAAAAAAGTAACGACGGTAACTTTTATTCGATACATAATATATAAAACTATACCTCCACTTTTCTGTAAGGGTCAGAAGGCAATAAGAGAAACTAGTTTTTAAACCATATTATATATCAGATGGAGATTCTCTTCTCACAAAAGAGAATAAACTGTGACATATACATGCGTAGAGACAGGATAAAAAATAGTTGCACTCCAGTGAAATTTAAAAATTCTATTGACATGTAGAGTTTTTATTAGAAATATTGTGAACTAGAATTGTATTGAAATTCACAGACAATGAACGTTTTAATTAATTTCTCTAGTATTCTATGAATCATAATTTTCAATTTTGACTGGATTGGTGTGAATGTGGCCATGGGTTTGGGTTTAATCTTAGTTATTTTCCTTAACAACAACCACCACCACACACTTACGCCCAAATTCGCACATCCTTTCTGTTATACATGAGTGACAGTACTTAAAAGAATAGGAGACAATATGAATGAAAAAAATGTTGATCTTATAATGAGTTCTATACCTCTAGAATCCCTCTGACTATGCTACAATATTCAGAAGATACCTGATTTGCGAAGTTCTGCAATATATCTAAAAATCAACCGATTCTCACACATTCTGTTCATCATTGTCAGTCTGAGGGTGTCGGTGGGTGTGGGTGGGTGAGTGTGGGTAAGCGTGGGAGAGTGTGGGTGAGTGTGGGTGAGTGCGGGTGGGTGTGGGTGAGTGCGGGTGGGTGTGGGTGTGGGTGAGCGTGGGTGGGTGTGGATCGTCTCTCAATCTACACCCACACCCAAACGCTACATTCACACCCACACCCCACAGCCACACCCCACACCCACACCCACATCCATACGCACACTCACATCCCCTCACAGAAACTGTTGATGTTTCTTTCGCCGAAGATTGGCAATTGCTACTGTCTGCTTCAATTTCATGAGAGGTATCGGCATGAATAGATGATATCCATGTTTTTTGTTTTTATGTTTCTTTCGAGTAATGTATGTCTTGTTTTTTTTAAGCTATAGCATTAATCGTTGTGTTATGCTGAGCGTTGCATAAGTTGTATATATTTCTTTCACTGAAAGAATTGAGGTGGCCTATTTTTTGCACTTCAGATTCAGTAGAAGCAAGAGTTTGAATGATTGGCTTTGCATGATTTTTATTTTTCTTTCTTCACAATAACAAAACGATTCTGCTCTTTGCTTTCAGTTTAGGTGCAGTTTTGTATTTGAAGTAATGGTTACGAAACGTTTTTACATTTCTTTGTATAAACAAAAGTAATTGGATTTTTTCTACTTCAGATTCTTGAGAAGCATGAGCATAAATAATTCGCTATCCACGTTTTTTTTCTCCTTTCTTTACATTAATGAAACCTTCGTATTTTTAATACGATTTGTTTATATTTGATATCATTATTGAAGGAAAGTGTTAAACACATCCTTTATACAGGGTGTCCGGAAATTCATTTACCAAAAAGAAAATTCAATATCTTCATTACGGCTCGAGCAAACGAGCTGATATTTTTGTCAATGATAGAGGCATTCTCAAAGTTTATATCTATAAAGACATGCCTAGAGAGATCCTTTTATATGTATTACTATTGACCTCAACAAAAGAATTTTACTTTTTCACAGATAGAGAAAAAACAATACACAGAGTGGGGCAAACGTCATTTTGCTAAAAAAAAATTGATTATTTCCATTACGGCTCGAGCAAACGAGCTGATTTTTTTATGAATGATAGAGGTATGTTCAAACTTTATATTCATAAAGACAAGCCTAGGAAGACCCTTTGTTAAGTATACTGTTTTTTTTCTCTATCTGTGAAAAAGTAAAATTCTTTTGTTGAGGTCAATAGTAATACATATAAAAGGATCTCTCTAGGCATGTCTTTATAGACATAAACTTTGAGCATGCCTCTATCATTGACAAAGATATCAGCTCGTTTGCTCGAGCCGTAATGAAGATATTGAATTTTCTTTTTGGTAAATGAATTTCCGGACACCCTGTATTACTCTCATTGAATCAAGGCAGCTAACTCTATTCAGCACAAATTTGTCAATAACTTGTCTTCCAATATTTTGTCATGATGTCAGAACACATATTTCAATCCTTCCTAGTCGTATGATAAGACGCTTATAAAATTCATTATTGTTCACATGTTCTGAGATTGAAAATATCGACACCACTCGTGTTTCGCCTTTGCTTTACAATCTTCATTCAACATATTCTTGCTTGCTGTGTGTCTGAATAATAGGAAAGTCACGAATAACATAGATTCAGGAAGCCTTCAAAGTCTGAAATTTTCAACGAGCGAAGATGTAAGTTACAGATATGTTCAGATAGACAGAACTTCAAGAAAATCGCCTGTAAATGGATCAAAAGAAAGAAGGAATCTTTATACAATCAGTACTTGTGAATGCATGGAAAGAGGTTTGAGATAACAGAACTCCTGTACTATATTGATTGTCGTGGTGTAGATTGAGATGG